TGGCCTGAGGTGACCTGGCCAGCCAGGGGTCGTGCATGGACCTGGGACTGGCCAGGGAAGGCGGGGGAGGCTCTTCCCGTATGTCCAGGCCCGGGGGTGGGCCTCAGGGACATCTGGCTTCTATCCTGGGCCAGGAAGGGAGCTCTGGGAGAGGGATGGCCCTTGGGATTGCTGAGGCCCCCTTGCTCTTTCCGTGGGGCTGCCTTCTGAGTCCTGGTCCTCTTCCTGGCCTGCCAGCCACCTCTTGGCTGGCCGCATGGTCCCTTGGTGGCCCCATCCCAGTTAAGTGTGAGAACTCTGGCTGGGTCTGCCCAGGAGGCTCCTAGGATGTTCTGGGTCCTGGGCTGGCAGCAGAGAAGGACCACAGGATGCCAGGGAAGGTGGGATTGGGGGCCACTCTTGAGGCCAGGCCTGCCAGGCCTCTGGGTGCCAGAGAGAGGACCCACTTCCCATAGCTCGGACCATGTCCTTAAACTCCTGAACTTGCTGTGGCCGCTTGCTATGAGGACAGGCCCTGCTCCCAATTCGGCTAACACCCTCCCCAGGGAACATCTAAAGCCATCAGCCACGGCCCACCGGCCCCTCTGTCCCAAGCCTGCCTCTCCATCCCCGACGTGTTTCCCTTGAACCCCACCCTCCCGGGCTTCCCACACACGTTTTCCTGCTGTCCTGCTTCTAAGCTCCTCAGATATCCAGAAAGCACTGGTGGAGACAATCCCCTTCTTCTTTTTATTTTTCTTTTTGAGACGAAGTCTCACTGTATCGCCCAGGCTGGAGTGCAGTGGTGCGATCTCGGCTCACTGCTACCTCTGCCTCCGGGGTTCAAGCAATTCTCCTGTCTCAGCCTCCTGAGTAGCTGGGATTACAGGCACACGCCACCACGCCCGGCTAATTTTTGTATTTTTAGTAGAGACGGGGTTTCATCACGTTGGCCAGGTTGGTCTTGAACTCCTGACCTCAGGTGATCCACCAGCCTTGGCCTCCCAAAGTGCTGGGATTACAGGCATGAGTCACTGCGTCCGGCCAACAGTCCCCTTCTAACGGCAGGTGGTCTCCCCAGCACCAGGGCCATATGGCAGCAACACCCCCACAAGCACTGGTGGGTGTGGGCTGACACCATCCTACATGGGGGACACCCTGGGAGGCCAGGAATTTGCAGGCCAAAGAGGGACCCTGGAGAGTGGAGGACTCACCTCAACGGCACTCCTGAAGGGACGAGGAGCCCCTGGCATCAGGAGCTGCCAGATCACGTCCCATATGCTAGGCGTCAGGAGATGCAGAGGACGCAGCCCCTGCTCTGTGGGTCCCAGGTGCGGCTTGAGGGAGACAGTTCCAGCCTAACTTGAGAATTGAAAATAAGTGCTGGTGCACTGGGGGGCTTCCTGGGAGAGGTGGCCTCACAGGAGCACCTGGGGGAGCTGGGCACACACACGTTGGGATGTGTGCGAAGGAAGGGCTTCTGAGAGGGGGCCGGGCAGGAGCTGGAGAGGTCCTGGAGCCGTCGCTTCTCTCAGTGACTGAGCAGGTGCGCCGAGCCCCGGGTGCAGGCCCCCTCCTGAGCATGGGGCCCTGTGCCATTGTCCTGGCAGCCAATCTGTACAGCTGGCCCAGTGGCTCCTCAGGCACCTTGAGTTTCTGCTCCCTAACCCTGGCCAGGACCCTGCATGATTTCCTGAGGACACAGAGGCTCAGAGGCCACTAAGGGCTCCTGACGGGAGGTGCCCTCTCCTGCCCAGGGGTCCACCGTGACCTCCTTGCCTGTGGGGCCCATGCATTCAGCGCAGGGCAGAGGCCTCAGGGAGAGGCTCCCTCCTGCGCTTATTCTCCATTGCCCCCCCACATTCCTACGGGTCTCCAGGACCCCCAGATGCCTTTCCTGGCTGCTGGTGTCTCCCTCTGAGCCGCCCCGCCACCGTGGCGCAGGCAGCAGCCACGGCTCCCTTGGGCCTGGAGTGTGGGGGCTCTGGGGGTGAGGGGTAGGGGCGGTTCGGAGGTGTGGACTGCCAGGGGAGCCGGGGCCTGGAAGGACACACGCCTGCAGGAGGTCACAGAGCCAGGGAGTGGCTGGCCCCACAGGCCCGTCTCCCAGGCGCCCAGCCTGCAGCCTGTGCCGTCCTGCTGAGCCAAGAGAAGACACTGGGGGTGTTTGTGTTGGTCAGCTGTGGGGTCCCTCCCAAGGGAAACCGTTAGTCACCCTGGCGCTGGCCGGATGTGAGGCCACCAACACCAGGAGAGCATGGGGACTGTGCCAAGGGGTGCAAGGCCTGGCAGTCACCAGAAGAGAGAGAAGCGGGGTGGCAGAGGCTGCAGAGTGAGTGTGATCTGGTCATGTGAGAAGAACTGTGTGTGTGTGTGCCTGTGTGTGTGTGTGCGCCTGTGTGTGTGCGCCTGTGTGTGTCTCTGTGTGTGTGTGCCTGTGTGTGTGTGCCTGTGTGTGTATGTGCCTGTGTGTGTGTGCCTGTGTGTGTGTGCGCCTGTGTGTGTGCCTCTGTGTGTGCCTCTGTGTGTGTGCCTGTGTGTGTGTGCCTGTGTGTGTGTACGCCTCTGTGTGTGTGTCCCTGTGTCCGTGTGTGTGTCTGTGTGTGTGTGTGCCTCTGTATGTGTGTGCCTGTGTGTGTGCCTGTGTGTGCCTCTGTGTGTGTGCCTGTGTGTGTGCCTCTGTGTGTGTGCCTGTGTGTATGTGTGCCTGTG